TAGGGTTTTGGGCTCCTGTATAGCAGAATTACAAGAAGAAACCCGAAGGAATAATCTTGGTAATTATTTAGGCTCCTAGAGTACGCCGCCCCCAAGTAACCGTGCGCTCAAGATCAGTATGACATCTAAAGCGTGAACGGTGAGTTTGCCTCGGAGTCTTTCTCCACTGCCTGCAGCTGCTGAAACGAAGCGAGAAAAACTGATTCCGGTTGGCTTGCAAGCCAAGAAACAGTTCGATAACTGCCAAATGTTGGGGCAAGATGCTCTTGTGCGGATACGCCGCATGAGCTTGACCTCCACCCTCAGCAGCCACGAGACTGTCCAGGTCTCACAATTTGGAGGCGTCGGGGCGTAGCATGGCGGATGCCTTCTCCAACTAGTATCCATTGTGTCACTCTTCCGAGACCATGCACGTCTGTCATACAACGCTGCATTCGCGCTAGATTTGATGATTGCAACCATCTATGTTGACCTTGACGGGGTCTCGCTAATTACAGACCGAAACAGCGAAATTCACCTGCCGGATTACCACTCTTCTCCCTCCTGAAGGCCGATACTATATCTAGTATATAGCATAATACAGTATATAGTGTATACAGTATGCATAGTAGGTATAGTAGATATCGTACTGACAGTGTATATGTATATCTATATATACATATATACAGATATAGCTCATACAATAGAAATAACACATATAGTATATATAGTTTATACAGTATATACAGTATCTGTAGTATAGAAAAGAATGGAATAGTATATATATATATATGTATATATAGTATATATGTAATGTATATATATATATATAGAGTGTTTATTTAGCATACGTATAGTGTATGTATATAATATATATATATATACAGAGAGAGAGAGAGAGGGTGTATATGCACATATACATATAGAGAGCACATAGCATATAGTATATAGCAGTATATAAACTGCAACTCCAAAACACTCCAGGCCCTCAGACTCGAAGGTGTTTCATTGCAACCAGGAGTCTCTGTTGCTTTTCGCAGGCCGGGGTTGTCACGAATGAACTTGACGGCATATTCCTGAAAGGCATCTGAGGAAAAGGGAGCTGGAGAATGTGAAGATGACGACTCAGCTTCTCTGGATGTCCTTGCCGCCGCCCTTGGAATCTGAACAGCGGTAAACACTGCTGAATGAGCCTTCAAGCTTGACATCAGGAGTGGAACTCCTTGAAAAGGCAGTCACCCAAGTCACCAGCAAATAGATCAACATCTTTCTGCCCAGAAGACTGGGCCGGCCTCTACCAAGCGGACCTTCAACAAGGAATCGGTTGCCAGGGCCGCAAGGTTCACCTGTTCCAGAACATAGGGGTTACTATTGTTATTATGTTTATTATTTCTATTACTTCAATTACTATTCTTATGGTCCTGCTGAGCGTTGCTGCACAGTAAACGCCTTCTACGAACGATCTCGTTCGGGCCCCACAACTGCCATTGAGAAAAAGGGCAAATTCAGAAAGTCATGGCATGGTGCACATGGCAGGGCGCACGCGCAATGATTTTGACTTTGTTTTGCTTTGCCTCGATCGGGTGGGAGCCCTGCTTTAGAGAAACGATCACATCGAAGCTTGACACAGCGCCGTCTTTGTCTTGATTTATGTCTGTATTTGTTTATATATATATATACACACACACATTTGTTGAATTAGTTTAATTGTTTCTACATATATATGTACATATGTATGTGTATATCTATATCTATATCTATATCTATATATATATATGTATGTACATACATACATACATACATACATACATACATACATACATACATACATATATACACATATATATACACTTATATACACACACGTATGTGCCTCCGGGCCATGCGGCTATGCATGAGACCGACTCATGGTTCGTTTCAGACGCTTCCATTTACTTCGACGCGTCTTTACAAGTCAGAGCTTGTCCTTGTTGGGTCCACTTCCGCGTCTACTTTCGCAAAGTCCACAACCCCGCACTTGCCAGGAGGTGGAAGTGAGGCGGAAGGGTCCAACACCAGCTTCGTCAGAGGCTGCTGTCCATTTCTTGCACAGACCGGAAAAGCGCATGTCATGGACAACGCACTTGAACAAGCAGGGAGAAGATTTCCCTTCAGCTTGCTTTGCTGACAAGGACCTAGGATGGTACCGACCATCACACGTAAAAAGAAGCACTGCGCAGACCTTTGCGCTTCACAAGGATTTGCAGCAGACATTGCCAAACTGCACTGCAAATACTGCATTAGTCATTAGTTCAACCATTAGTTGTGGTTCCAAAGGCATCGGCGGACGGCAAATCCCAGCACGACACCCCTTGGGTGTGCGGCTTCAAATGAATTGCAATCAAAGCTCGCATGTCACTTAGTGACGAGGTGGGGAAAGGAACGGCAAGATGCAAGGTCATGTCATATCAGCTTCACTTATCCTCTCCATTGAGGTTTGACGGACCTTGCACGAAAAAGGTTCACTTCGGCGGTATCTGATGTGACGAGCGGTGCTCACCACACAAGACATTGCTTGCGACTCCTGCACGGTAGAAAGCCGTGCAAATCGTGCGACGTTCCACAAATTTTACGGCAGCTGCGATTCAAAGAGCTGCGCTCACGCAAGGCCTGCCCTAATTTCTACTCGCTCGGAGACTTGAACCGGGGCATCACTGGTGTAGACTGTGCCCCGACTGCCCCGACCTCATGCATCAAGCATCAGTTGAGGATTCTACACTCAGTTCTGACCGTCATCAAGGCCCAGTGACCAAGGAATCCTCTGGAGACACTTTCGCAGCAGCGGCGCCTGGCAGCGCAGCTCACTGGCTATGGCTCTTTACAGTCCCAAGCTGCGGTTCATTCAGGGCTTGTGGGTTTGATCACTTCCTTTTTCCTGTATGCCTGGGCTTCTCAAACAGGCCTAATTGATCTTCGAGGGGTGGATTCCTGATTAACCACTCACGCCCCCCTTCCCTCCCAGACAGAGTGCACCCGAAGCGAAACCTTGCACAACGGTGTGCTCAAGTCATGGCACACCGTGTGTATTGCTGCAAACCATCGGATCTAACCCCGTGGCACACCACCCTATGTGAACTCAAATGGCAGCTGGACCTTATGTCCCTCCGACAGGCAGCTATCAGGTCGCCACGCCGCGCAGGGTGCTCCGAATACTCTGTCATCGCCATCCAACTAACTAGGCAAACATGGGGAATTAAGGCCAAACAGGGGTTGGGGCTTAAGGTGAATGCTATACATGGATCATGGACTCGCCCAGCTCGCACCACTACAACTGCGCACAGTGGAGCTTTTATATCCAGGCTCGAAAAATGTCTGCGCAATCTCGGTGAACCTATAAAGTCTCACATACCCCATTCGGTCCCAGTCTTGCGAAGGGCCACGCCCTGGCGAAACTGTGGCCGAAGGCCAAAAGTGGAAGCACCTTCACACAAATCACCTCACACTTCATTCCTCCAGCTTGCAAGATACGTAATACTTCAGGTGTCCCTTGTCATGGGCCATCCCCAAGCCCGAGCGCCACCGAGCCACAGAGCGCTGCGGCCTTGGAGACGTTCACCAAAAGTAGCGCAAGGAAAAGGCTGCGTTCGCCGGCTCATGGAGGGTCATGC